AATTCCCCGAAGGGCTTATCTCGCCCCGGCCACAAATCGTTTCCCTCTTCCCCGCAAACATAATAGTTAATGGAATGAGACTCTACATCTTCAGGGAAGAGCGAATGTCGATCATGGAAGTTAAAGTAATATGGCTTGAGAATTAGAAAAAACAATTTAATTATTATATTGCAAAATTATTTTCTTTTTAGATTCGTATAAATAAGTGAATTACGTCTCACTAATATACCTTCAATTAATCTACATTTTCGATGGAAAATGATGAAAATACAATCCAAAATCTGATTTTTATCGATATTTTAAGCAATAGAAAGATAATACACAAGATTATTTGTTTAATCTAATGTTAAACTATGTCATTTTCGCAATATGTTCTCAACTGACGTTACTTTACAACTCTAAAATGTATTTGTTTTCTTCATATACGAAACGGGGCACGGTCTAAAAATAGTGTATCACTTATCTTAGGCACACATAAAGATATGAAGGTACCAACGATAACCTGCATATGATTCTCTTTTAAGAAACATGTGCTTGCATGGTATTAATCTTGCATAATGGCGCTTACTTGGAATAAAAACTCTTAGATTAAGACTTTATTTACCGCGTGAGATATATATACACATATGTCGTTCAGAAAATAGAATTTATTTAAAATTCAATAAAATTGTACTTAAATAAATACCTATATATTTCATATTTTATAATTTTCCTAAGACTGACAAGTACTATCTCAAAATTAATATTTAAAATAAATATTAAAAGATTTCTTCAAACGTTACTCTTTCTATACGACACGTCATGCACACTACGTCATCGTCACGCCACGTCTGATTAGAGCTAATAAATGCAATAATATTTCATATGAAAGAAAATATTTGCACATCAGGGAAGCGAACCAATTTAGTCTTACGTATGCATACGTAAATGTACATCTGATAAGTGATAAGAATAAAACACTTAAATGCATTAGGCTAGTTTTAACTGTCTGTTATTTAAAAATTGGCGATAACAAAGTGTAATAGTCATCCACTGATGAAAATGTGTTTTAGCAAAAACGTTCTAACAATTTTCAGATTCTGTATCATCTCTTTAATCTCTTTCCATTTGATAATATAAGTTTTAAAATGTCCTATATATTATATTCTTTTAACCAACAAAGTAATGTATATTTTTACATCTGCATTTTGTTTTTCAAGAAAGATAACAAAAACAAACTTTTAAATCAAACTTGTTCAGAAATTTTTAACTCCGCGTTGCGGCAAGTTCGAGTAAATGTTCTATGTTGTAAATTCATCTTAAACCAATTTCTCATCGCGCCGAAGGAAAGGGTCCTTGAGGAAGAGAATAGGTCTTGATGTATTGATAAACGAAACGGGCACTGGAGGAGTTCTATTGAATCGCGGTAAACGTTTTCGCGACTCCCGACATTTACAAGGTCGGCGCTGAATGAAAATCTATGTAACGCGGAAAAAGGGCTTTTCGCCGTAAGTAAAGCGTGACGCCTGAAAAGAACAATGAGCACTCGAGCTTCAACGAAGTGCATAGCGTTTAGCGCAGTTGCTCGCTGAAGTGCTATTATTATTCCCTTTGACACGTGAACTCCTTTCCTTCTCTCGTTATTCTCCGTTAGAAGACTCAGCGAAAACGCGTTACAGTTATTTTCGCATTCCGTCACATCAACGGAAATGCAATGGCAACTGCAATTTGTATATCGAAACTTTGTTCGCTAATAATCAGAAATTTTAATGGATTACTTTTACGGGGAGAGAATAGTTATATCGTTATTATTATTATCGAACGGCTTTTATAATCGATAATATCTAATCACACACTAGAGTGTGATATATAATTTTCACACTCGTTTTCACACGATAATGATACGTCACGAGCGTGTTTGAGAACCTAAGGCTTGATACGACGAGACTGATAAAAAAAAAGCAAATTCTTTAAGAAAGTCTAAGAAATTGATAAGAATCTATCTTCCCGGTTGTTTCACGCGCATCAAATGGGGGTATCCTTATCTCGATGTTATCAGAAATGGTTAGGGAACTTTACCCCCAAGGTATAACGAGATATTCCTCGAAATTTATCTCGTAGTCAGTTTAGCTTTGTCGTTTCTTCGAGTTTCTATGTTGTTCTAAAAAAGAAAACGAATACACAATTTGAAAGTACAAAGCGAACACCTTGACCTCAACGATGCGATCATCACGTGCCGTACCAGAAATCTGAATTTAGCATTGATTACGCGCGGAGGCATTCATAAGACAACCTTCACTTTAGATGGAATTAGAACGTAGGGGCTTTGGATGCGCTTCTTCAACGTGAAGAGACTATCGACGCTGATCCCGAGGCATCAATTTATTCACGATACGTTTGGAAGATATGTATATCAAAGAAACCGAAGAAAAGAGAATTATCATGCTAACGCGATCAATGATTTTCTTTCTGCCTCGGCGGCCGGGCGACGTGACGTTAAGGTTAAAATTAGCAATGTAAATGCTTAGCACAAAGTGAACGCGGATAACAAGATGGGCATCGGTTCAATGGTGAAACTGATGCATAATCGAGAACGTTCCCGCTACAAGTATCCTTTAGTCCCTTTCAACTGGAGTGACGCATCTCCCGAAAATCTCTGTCGTTAGATGCTATACGAACTGCATATTAAATCGAAATTAAAATTAGCTGTCAAAGCGGAAATTTTTCTACGTAGAATCGTAGCAAACCTCACACTCCCATCTATACAAAATCTTGACGCTTTTAGGATTAATAGAGCGAATAGAGATGTGATTACGTACGCTATGCCGAAAGTTTGCAGTGACGTAACTATGCAGCAATATGCAGGAAAAGAAAAAAAAGGGCAGTAAGAAACTACGTAAAATCGCAGAGGCTCGAACTGACACAAAGTTCGATATTGGCTAGCATATCGTCGCAGACGGCACGCGTCGGCCATCTGTCTCACGAGTTGTCAGCAGCTCGGCAACTATCGAGAGACACGAAAAAAGGGATGGCTCGCTCGACTCTTCGATATCGGATCGATAGCTCGGCCGATCATATAAATTCAACTGCGGGCCGAGAGATAGAGAGAGGGTAGTTACCGCTCGTCAGACTTTACCGCCGACATCATCATGGCGACAGGATACGGTAGATTGGGATGTGCCCCGATCGTGTTCGGAATCTCCTCCGCGCTCATTCGCGCGATGAAATTCATGAGCAAGTGCGATCAGATATGACGGCAATAGAGTTCGTTCCTGTCACGGTATCGCCATGCCCACCCACCCGTCTTTTCATATTTCGCAACCTTGTCTCGCGTGCATCTTTGCAGTCCGTGATTCGCGCGATATCCTCATACATATATATCCCCATGCTAAAAATTCTTCATCCAAACAATCATTCTTTTGGTTGCGCATTTATTGAAAATGTGATTTAGGTGACATTATAATCGTGATAATAGAAATCGGGGCATTAATTCTGCGGTACGCGCATCGCAAAAAGATCGAGATGAATGTTTTTACACGAGTTATGGCAGAGACCAACGTTCGCGGTCTCGCATTATCACATAGTCCCTTATTATAACTCTCTCCCGAGGATAGGTAGAACGCGTTAAGTGGCAAAAAATCCGACGAGCACGCGAGGAAACTTGATCGATGGACGGTTCGTTACGTTCCGTTATGGCGATCTAATGCGACCATGTAGACCGGGAACACAGTAACAACGGTATGAAAATTCGCTTGAATTCGTATGTCATGCGGAAAATTGCGACTTTTCTCATACCTCTTCCTCTTTTCTTCGAATTATTTATGATCATAAAAGCCAAAATTTCTTTCGCCACCAACCGGAATATATTCAGGTGTTCTACTTAATTTATAGTTTTATTCATGCAAAACCTTCTTGGTTTAGAGGAATAAATTTCGCACGAACAAAACTGTACAATAAATAAAACGCATGAATATATATACCGACTAATGGCAATAACAAAATTTCAACTTTTATAATCATAAATAATTCGAAAAAATATTAGATTGTTTTACAATACTCCCTCCCATAGTAAAATACTTCCGTAGCACAGTCTAAAGACTAAAATTAAAAAATCCTAATACGAAGATAGTAATCGAGATTAGATTTCGAATCATACACAAACAAAGTTGGTAGTATAAAATTCGCGGACTTAGATCCGTAAGAGCATTTACACGCATATCAATATTGATAAGTAATAATTTCATATAACTCAGGTGACTTTATTCGGCTAATTTTGCCATTTTATTTGTTATGTGCTGAAATATATTATAGAATATATTATAGCAATCAGCTGATATTGATTATTAATAGCAAATTGTAACCGTACAAATTATTTAATTTTAATTTATATATAGAAAAGATGTATAACATTCATGGAGAAATTTTGTCTAATTCTTCCCATATTTTTTAAAATAAATTCAATACAATTATATAATTATTTTTACCGCCGTAAAATGTATTTCAATGTATTTCAATTTTCAATGAATTTCAACTTTATTTCAACGTAATATAAAATTGACTTGTCAAAAATATGGATAAATAGGCTTAAAAAAATTAGGATAAAACTGGTGCATTATAAGAATAGATATAATCAATAAATAATGCTTTCATTATGTTAAACATTTAATTAAAATATGTTGATTATTATTATTATTTATCAATTTTGCTATGCTTATTCTATCTGTAAAATACCTGTTTCTTCAAATTAAAAATTGTCAGTTTATCTTATAAATTTTCACGATTGATGTATCTCGTAATAATTCTGTCGTATAATATTTGAGGATCGTAACCTACATATTTATTTTAAAATAATAAATTTATGAGAGATGTTTTGTAATATTCTTGTATTTTTAATTTTACGCGCATATATATATATATATATATTTGCATATACATATATCTATAATATATCTATATAATATATATCTATAGTTTTCATAAATTTATTACCTTACATTAAAATATAAGATAATTCGACTCACCGATACGATGCGCAGCAGCGGAGTTCAATTACGCGCGTTGAACTGTAACATACAAATACATTCAAATTATGGAGAGCTCAAAATAATAAATATTGCCAAAAGTATAATTATTGCATGCACATAATTATAATCGATCGATTTCTTAACATAATAATAAATAAAACATTACTCACCTCAGGGTTGCTCCGCTGACGCCTGATGCCTCCCAGACCTCCTCCTCCTCTCTTGTACAACCGTTGTTTCTTTATATCACTCACACGATAACTACTCGCGAAAGTTTATATTGCGTACCGATCGCGCGGAACTTTGTATGACTCTTCCGTACCTAACCCGCGATATATCACAGCTTTCTGTATCTAAATTATTCATTTTTGCAATTCGTGCGCGTTATTTCGTACTTTCAATCCGAAAGCGATAGGCAAATTACATTTAAATCGGCGAGAAATGTAAAGCACAATATGTATTCAAAATAAAAAAAACGCATTGTGAGCATTATTCTAAATGTCCCGGCAAAACTGTAATCTGTAATTCTCATATTGCTTCGATTTCCGAAACGAATAAATCGCCCGAAGTATTTATACTTCAATAAATAACCATCGTTCCGATATGCTTAGACGTCGGTGATACGCGGGAGTTAATTAGTCATACGTTAATTGTAGGGACAGATCGCGTTTGACATCCTACTTGTCGCGATCGCGATTCGAGAGGTAATACATGGAACTCGGAGCGGCTCGCGCCGCTACCTGCTTGCTCGAACGTTGTCGTATGAATGATAACGCGGCAACCTTGCGTAAACACAATAGCGCGCGGTAAGCCGCGTTCAAAACAAACCAGTCGAACGTTACCGCATGTATTATGTCGCGCAATAAAATACACGCAGAATTCGTTATTCCCTATAGCTCAAATTACTCAATACTAAACAAGTGATATATTACGCGGCTTTCCATTCCGTTGATCACTCGATCCGCTAAGTCGTGTGTCACGTCGCTCTCAATCCTAGAACATTAAACAAATTACTTAATTAATTTAACCCGACGAAAAATTTAAAGCGCAATAAGAGATACATTTAAATTCAAGCATCAAGGGAAAAAGTTAATTTTATATTGCATGAAACAAAGTTAAAATAAATTGAAGAAATTAAAAATATTTATATACTATATACACTTGTGTTAAATTTATTTTTAAATATAAAAAGAAAGCACAGAAAGGAAAAATTGTGTTTGTAATATGTATGTAACATATAGAAACGTATATGTATTAGATAATTTACAAATAACAATTAAAATTAACTTATCAATATTAACTGAATAATAAAATTAGTATCATCCAAACTGCAAAAATTCGATAATAGATGATAAATTAGTAAAGGCATTTATTTACGGATTTGAACGCAATCTAATTTTAATCATTTATAATTCAATCGTTAATGTATACAATGCAACAGCATTGCAAACTTATTATTTTCAGGCTTCGGAGTGCGCACTTGCCGAAACGACCGTTAGGATTAACCGATTCGCCAATAATTACGGGAAAAGAAGGCCCTACTTAGATTTAGCTTTATGTAATGTGTAGGCAACGCGCTGAGGATGACCCCAAAAAGGGTTGAAACGTACGTATTGTAATTGACATTTGATTGACATTTTATTAAAAAGATTTTAGCGAAGATAATCTACGCTTGGCTCTTATTGCCTAATCAAGTTTAATATTTTATATACTGAGCCTTTAGAGATACCTATATTATTATTTTCATATCAAAGATTTCTAATTATAATCTTCAAAATTCGTTCTTAAATTATTACACAATAATCGAAGGGCATCACATGCACTTATTAGATATATTGAAAATTTATATTTCTTGTAATAACACGAAAACAGCTTAAATACAACAAATCATTCAGGATTTATAATCGAATTCTCACATTATGTTAGTATCCGAATCCGATGATACGATTCACGATAAAAAGATATATCTCTGTGCAAGATTTTCCATATTCCGTACACATTTTCGATAAGAACCAAAGGAATTAAAATCTTTTCGCGAGCTTTTTCGCATTTGATTATCCATTGTTAAGCGCCGTTCAGCTATCCACTTCCGCGATTATTATACGCGACACGTTTCAAATGGCGGTCCGCACACAAGACCAGAATCGCGATTTCCGTTGAAATTTATACTTTTCACGAAATATAAACTCACCCTTACGTGCGCGCAAGCTTATGTTCGTTCACGTAGGGGGCGAGAAGCAAATAAAAACGAATAGGACAACGCTATAAGCGGGGGTTCCGGCCAAATCGAAATCCTCACGTCGTTTTCGCAATTTTCTCACACACCGGTGAATCCAATCGAAGGATAGAAAACTGCTGACTACTACCGCTACTATACAATCGAGAATGTCACGTGACGATAATTTGCGGAAAACGAGAATGAGGCGAGAGTCAACCCATAAAAGCCACTTTCGATTTCGATGGAAATTGTCATAAGAGAGAGTCCGGTTACGTTAAGGTTGACATGATTCGAGTATAGGGGAGATCTTCGAGTACAATGCATAAATATAAAAGGCAGGACATTCGCAGTCTCATTGAACATCTCATTTCTTTTTATCACTTCGATATATACATATACAGGCGTCATAAACTATAATTAATTTAATTTACTAGGTACATCTTCTAAGGGCATTTCCGAAAAAATCACGAACATATCTAGTTGATATACGTTACATTTTAAACAATTCATGAATAATATATTTGCAAATAATAAATTGCGAGGCATATTACATTATAATACAAGAGATTCGAATTGTTTTCTAAAACGAAATTAAAACAAAGTATTTTTACATATTTCAGATATTTGTTGCCGGCCGATAAAGCGCGAGATCTTCAATGAGATAGATTCATATTTGTCCTCATCTATCATTCGCCTTCTATGAATTAATACAAAGCCATTGTATCTGCGTGTGACAGTTTCCAAATGGAAGGGAGAATCTCGGTAATCGTGCGCATCGTCATTCTTCACGTAAGCACGGCCGCATTATTACCGAGCTATCAAGCCACGCTGAGTGCTCATGAAATATGTCAGTTACAACATTTTCTAGAGACGATCTGGGAACGTAAATAAATTCCAAGTACGTGCCCCGGAGCACATTGAATTTCAGTGGCGGTGCTTCCCCACATTTGCAATATGCATTTCAGCTGATCCGATATCGAAGAATGGAAAGTTGTGACAAAAGATTACAAATCCGTGCCAAGGAATTCATTCGCTATATTTCAATTGTCCGGATCTTGTATATGGTCAATTTAAATCTCGGTATCAGACACGTTATCGTTACTTTCTACTGACGACGCGCCAAGTACATTTTATCTAACGCATCGAACGCGCTCTCGACCTTTCCGAATGAATTCGTGCTATCGTGCTATTCCTTTCCCATGTCGGGAACTAACGTAATCCAAAAGTTTCCGATTACCTACCGACGCATCGAAACTTTCCTGGCGAGCAAAACTCATTCCTCGGAATCTTCTCGCGGTTGCTTTGGTATCAATGGTATTCTGTTCGCCGTAACTTTCTATTCTCTCTTTAGTTTGATATCAGTTCAAAGAATACTCATAATTCTCAATTCCGACAGCGTCGAATATATTCTGTGTCATCGAAAACTGATATCACATAAACCATTAATATTATTAGAATCGTAGTATTTCAGTAAAAGATGAAATTATTAAAATGTTGTTTATAGTTTATATAATTGTTAATTATAATAACAGCTATATCCTCAAGTATCAAATAGAATTTGTTCTCTTTATGTTGGAGTCAGTTGATCGAGTTCAAAGATCCAGTTCAAAGATCAGTTACTATAATAAAGGACAATTACATTTACATAAATTATCTCGTAGTTTATATAAATATATATATATATATATAGATGTGGGTGTGTGTATTTCTCGTGTTGCTGAAAACGTCGAAGCAACTCCCGAGCAATTCACCTGTAATTGAATCGTGCGTCAATGTCAGATGCATTTCATCATCAGGAGCAGTCTGTTACATCTTGGATAGTTTCAGAACTTCGCATTGCGCACATCACAGATATCTTGTCATGTTCAAATTGTACAAGTACCGTCCGGAAGTTATTCGGTTATGCATGGCACATTAAATCACGTAGCGAATTTTTCGTACCGAACAACAAATTTGATAATTGTGTGAAAACATAGTGATTTTCATTTTCAAATCATTGTTGAAATGATAATTTGTAAATCAAGAACATGTATGTATACGCACGATTTTTATAGAGACACATTGTCGATATTCAGTCATAAAAGCTCACGCGCCGATACGCTTTGCGCATTAAATCAATTTTGCGAGCGATGTGTCAGCGATGTCACGGCATTTTATGCAAAACTGCTTGCCAACGATTAAACATGGCATCGACATTAAAATGAACGATAATTCCATTCATGCGAGCGCACGTAGATAATCGGAATCGACAAGCGTATCGCAGCTGTACATATTACTGGCTGGAATATTCTTTCTTTTATTTCGGCCTCGACATAGACAGCTGAATATAGCGATAGCGATCTACTCGTCCGTTCACGCTTAAAGTGTGTGCGGATCAAGGCGTGACATCGCTGAGGGAGCCGATTATATCGCGTAAAGTACATCGCGTTAATCCGAACCACGAGAGTGGATTTCGTGACTAATTGCGCTAATTTCGTCGGATAACACCGGAGATAGAATCCGGCTCGTCCGGTCAAGTTGCGCGTGTCCGCTTTAAGCACTCGATTTTCCCCGGGAGAATGAAAAACGATCCCGGCTTTTGCGAGCTTAACAATCACGACCGATGTAGCTCTCTGTTTACATTTGGATTCGCGCGAAAGTTCCATTCGTCTTCCGGAAAGGACCGTTTTCCTCCTACGCTTTTCCAATTGAAAGAAAACGCTCGACCGAAATCCAAGTCCACGCGCGTGCGACCGGACGGAGGGCGGACTTTTGTTGTCGCATAACAATAGCGCCGGAAGAAACGTCTCGTTCATCATATCGGTCGGACATAAATAATCCTACCGACCCGCGCGGCGTGAGTTATGAAACGCGGAATATAACGAATGTTACGTTACTTTGTTCTAGCGTATACGTGATGCGTGCCGCGCATGCATTCTCGTGTTGTCGCGTATCCCGAGTCCGGAAACATAACGCACGGCTGCATCGAGCTGCTCGATATCGTTACCCGATATCGCTCGGAATCTTCGCGAATTCTCCAGCGAAATTTCGTTCGCGGGATACATAACGAGAGAGAGCGCGCGCGCGCGCTCTCGCGTTTCTATGTATTCCGGCGTGCCGCCGCGCGAATCGATCGCCGACGTGCGATATGTAAATGCGAGAGAGTCCGCTTTGCCGAACAACCGAATGGCCGTAACTGGCGAGTTAGTTAGCTGCTGCACGTGTCTGCGCCGAGTTAGTTTGCAGGAAAGGTCGCCGCCGCGCCACGCCGCCGCGCGCGAATGCCGTGCATCACGCGGAATTGCACGGAAACGCCGTTCCGTAGGATTCAACCGATCCGCGATTATTCTCGGAGCATGCTCGCGAATATCACGGATTAATGCCAGACTCGAACGCTCGCGGCGATGAAAATACCGTTCTATGCAAATATTTGAGCGAAATTTGGAGAACAGTTCAACGAAGTGTTCGGTAAACGATAATGAAATATCTGATGCAAAGTTGTCGAAAAATATATATGGGAATGATTTAATTACAAGATATTAGATTTATTAAAATTTCGCAAAAATTTGGCAAGGATCGTTTAATGTAATATTCGTGGCGATTAAAATCGGCAAAATTATTAGTATTATTTTCTAGAGCTAATTAAATAATTATCTAGGAGACGGAGTGTAATTTCAACAACAGATATTTCGCAGCTGCGAAACATCAAATATACACACATATATAAATGTAAGTAATGTATAATGTGTAATTACATAATACATTGCGCTTTATATTATACATACACAATGTGCAA